GAAATTTCATGCCTGGAATTATTCTCAATTGATGGATTTGCAAACGAATTCTGCAAGACTTTTGTTAGTGCTTCTGTTTCAGCAAACGATTGACAGAACGTCCCCCATGGTGGTTCCATTGCCAATAAATTAGAAGAAAAAACCATTTTTAAAACTACCGAAACAAAACAAAAAAAAAAACAGTAAATCGAACCCAATTTTTTGCTGATAAACACGAATCAATACCATTAGTTCAAGTTGTTTCAGGTTTTGATTGCAAAGGAAGAGAAAATAGTAAATGATAAGATAAGAGCAGATGGATTGAGGAAGTTGGGGCTGAATTAATAAGGCGTGGTGGTGCTGGGAGGGAAAGAATAAAATTTGTGGTGGTGGGTTGAATTAATAAGGCGGTGCTGTTCTTTCAGGTTAGTCAATTTGTTTTATTGTCAAATTTTTTATTTAGGTCCTCAAGGTGCAAGCTTCAATTATTTTGGTTCATTGAGTTTCAATTAGAATGAAAAGGTCCTTCAGTGACCATTTGTGAAACTGGACGTAACTTCAGTGACCGTTAGTGCAGCTTTTAAACTTCAGTGACCGTTTTAAAATTTTGACGTAACTTCAGTGACCATTTGAGAAATTAACCCTTTCTTATATATATTGGGGTTTAGATCTCAATAAAATACACACAAATCTATTGACCCATCTATTTTCTCTCTAGTTTATAACAGATAATTCTTTAGGTCAATCTTGAGATATATCCTTATAAACTCAATTTTACGATGGCAAATACAATGAACACGTGAATAAGTTAATCCAAGGTGCTAATATAATAACAATACTAATAAATCTTTAACTCTGTCTCAAAATATGTAACTCAAGTCACATAATAGCAAAATACAATGAACGTAGGAATAAGTTAACCCAACTTACTAAAATAATAGTAAAAACGAGAACAATAATAATAAATCTTCTCGAAATATGTACTTATTAACTCAATTCACAGAATAGCAAAGTACAATGAACGTTAGAATGATCAGTATCAAATATGTATTTAGACCTGTAATTAAGGTTTTTTAGTAAAATTTCTGGATATTTGTATACAAAGTTTCCATATAGTTTCTGAATTTCTTTAGAACATAGGGTTCTTTTTTTTTTTTTTCGAATTTTTGTCATGAAAGGCTTGCATTTTAAAAGTTCACATTGCTGCATAAGCCGAAGACATTAAAATATTGGAAAAGTTTACATGCATCAGTTGTCTTGATCGGAGATTCCCGATGTCTTGCTATTTTTAATTGAACAATGCTTGATGTACAATGATTTTGATATCATTGTTGACAACATGTCACGTGACATGTTATCATTTGACAGTTTAAAAAAAAATTCATTATTTCAACCAATACTTTTTTTCCACAACCAACATTGTTAACAATGTTGTACAAAAACATTGTACAAAT